GACTATAAGAAAAGAACAGATTGTTCCGATTGATTGTACTTTCTATCAATGTAGGACGGCCAAAAAATTATGCAGTAATGTAATTTATTAATACAATTTGTTGAAGGTTAATTTCAAGCTTCATTAGAAAATTGGAACTATTTCTTCTAATTAGAAACAAGAATGACACTTTTATTCCACTTTTTTAAAATTTTTTTTACAAAACATAAAAACTTCAAACAAAAAAAAACTGTTCTTTAAAAATTAAAAGAGAAAAATATAAGTCTAAATATTCCAATTTTGTCTCTTGATTATATTTAATTTGTATCAGGTTATATTTTTCAAAAAATGATATTTTTTTTGCTTATATTACATTTGTCTTTTGATAATAATTTAGTTGTAATAACAATCCTAATAAATTGTGTTCAGGTAGAAAATAATCAAAACTTGTATCAGGTTGTATTTATTTACATTTTACAATTTTTAAAAACTTTCTATTTTTTTTCTCATAAAGCTTTCTGTTTTTACCTTTTGGTAACATGTTTTTTAGACATGAAACTTTTAATCTAAAAAAATCGCTCAAAAACCGCGCAAGATTTGAGCGGTTTTTGAGCGGATTTTTTAGATAAACCGTTCAAAAAACAATTTGAAGCAAGATTTTGAGCGCAATCGTCTAAAAAAACGCTCAAACCGCTCAAATCTGGCCTCAAATTAGGTGAAAAGTCTCGACTCGGGCCTTTCTGCGTGTGTGTTTAGCAACTTCATCAGTGGGGACACTGGGGTGAAGAGTGTGAATGACATCAATGTGCCCTACGGGAGGATGGTGATCAACATCGTCAAACTACTCATCCCCATCCTCTGTGGAATGCTACTCAGGTCAGTCCCATCTCTTCAATTATAAAAGCCCATCCCCCCACTTTGAAAAAGGGAATTTGCCATAATTAGTTTGACACAGGCTTATCTAAAAAAAACTTAGTTTTTTGTTTACGGGTTGAAGCTTGAACTTTGAAAAAATTATATGGCGAGAAAATCGTGCCCTGCATTTGTGAAACATTTAAAGCAACCTTATCATATCACGAAAATTAATTAATAATTTTGACCTCACGAAAATTCATTGTGATATGGTTTTTTTATGCGAAACTATTGTGTCTGCACTGCGTAATGAATAAAAGTTTACTGTTGTTTATTCAATTTCTTCCGAAAAAACGTTTGTTAAAGCGTAGAAGTGAGTTTAAGACTAAGAAAAAGTTTTCTTTCAATTTTTCCATCCAACTTTTTAAAATAATATTTGGCATGATGTAGTGAGGAGAGAAAAACAATTGTAGTTTCAGCCATTCGAAGAATATCTTTGAAAAACTATCAGGCCTATCTAATCCTAGTCTGTTTGTACTATTTACGCACAATTCAGACTTTTGTTTTGCAATTCAGAGTCTTTTGTTCTGCATATCATACATTTTCAATAGAATAAAGTTGTATGCTAGAAACTTCTATGAAAAAAACTCATCACTTTATACGAATTTCGTAGTCTCGAAAATCAGTTTTAAATTTATTAATTGGATTTTGACATCGTTTAATTACATAAAAATTATTTAAATAATTTTTTTTTAGTTTAGTAAGCAAAAGTTGTTTTCGAAAAAAAAACATTACTCCTGCAAAAAACCTAGCCCAGCAGAAGACAAAACCCTGCATTTGCAGATGGCAAAATTTTTTGAATGCTGACAGAATTATTACCATTATTTTAGATATATGATGACTAATAAGTTCGTATAATTCCGAATTTCTAAGAAAGGGTCACAATAATTTTGCTCGGTCTTGTTTTTTGTCTTCTGACAAATTTCGACTTTTTAATTAGGAGTTTTTGATAGTTTTTTCTAATTACATCGATAACTTTCGTGCTTTTATAGCATAAGCTGCTATCTATACGGCTGATTTCAATTAAAATTGAGGCAAAAAATTTGGTCTAGAAGCAACTTTCGCAGATGTGATTTATATATAGAGAGAGAGAGAGAAAGAGAAAGAGAGAGAGAGAGAGAGAGAGAGAGCGACAAAAAGTATTTCTTAATAGGCAAAAACCAAGAAGCTCTTAAAAAGCAAGATTAAAATGAGTCATGAAAAACAAAATTTTAGCTATCTGACCTGGAGCTTAGGAGTCTCACGTCCTTGCATCTGCACCAAAACTATTGTTTCAAAAAATTGTCTCTCTTGTTACCATTAGTGAGGGTACAGTTGCTTGTAAATTGCCAACGCTATATAGGAAAAAAGCTATCAAATGAAAACTACAACTACCTCATTGTTCCGGATTTGCATCTCCGGCCTGTACATTAGGATTCTCACGTCATTGACTCTGCGCCACAGTCACCAGCAAGTAAACCGACCCTCGCCATCAATAAAGCAGCAGCAGATTCTTTTAAATTGCCAATGGTTGGAATTTTTACAAAGCTGCTACCAAATGAGCTTTTCTACTTGGGATTAAGCTTCGGAAAATTTTCCTCTGTAGTGTTTTAGTACGCTCTTCTTGTGTAAAAACAGTTTTTTAGGTTACCGTGTTTAAAAAACTTTTTAAAAACCAAAATTGGAAAATAGGTCAAACTTTTATTGGCTTTTATAACTGTCTACACTTTGGCTTTTTTCGATCGTTTATTTCCGTAACAGGCAATTTTTGCTCATAGTATGTATAAACTGTTATTTCAGGTAAAATTCTGTAAAGCAAATCAATATAAACTTTATCATTGGTTGCTTATGAAAATTCAGTTCAAGGAGAACGTTCATCTGTTGAATAAAACCAAACAAAATTTTATCCATTTATCTAAAACATTCATGAATTGCTCAATTATGAAAAAAACTTTCATGTAACGTTTTAAAATTTATGTTTTGGGTTAAGACTCCGTGGGCGTACAATATGGCAAACTTTCAAAAAACAGCCTGTTGCTGTTTAGTGCGTAAAATGTTTCGACCATGATAATAATTTCGAAACAACAAAACAAAAAATCTAGAAAAAATACCATGAGCGGTATCTCGAATTCACAATGCCTATCAGGAGCAAAAAAAAACTTAAAAAAATGTCAATAAACACAAGGAAAAGGAAAAAATACCGGCTTGTTTTTTGAAAAAACTTCGACTCTTTGACTCGACTTGCAAAACTGTATATGGCCTTAAGACTCTTTTCCCTAAAAAAAAATGACTCGACCTAGATGAGTGCTTTCCAATTCCCAAAAAGCACAAGTTTATCAGAAACCAGAAAATTGTTTAATTTCTTGGCGACTAGAGTTTGAAGCAGGGCTTTGACGACATCTTTTTTGTTTTAGTTTGTTCAAGTAAGTGAAAAGCAACATGTAAAATAGTTTATTTCAAAATCAGATCAACTGTTTGAGATTCCAGTTTTAGATAAAATGATAATCTAGAATGGGTTTGCAGGTTCAAATGTTATTAAACATAATTATAAACATGTACCTTGTCTGTTTGGCAGCTTTTTTGATTACACCTTTCTGGCCAAGTGTCTCTATTAAATTGAATACGATGTTTCTCTCATCTGATATGCGGATTGATTCAATTTCAGCCAGTCAGATTCGAGCATTTTTTTTGGTTTTTTTTTTATTTTGGTTAAAAAAGACCCTTGAAACATTTCAAGCTTAGTGTCTTTTCTGTTATACGGCCCAAAACTGATCTTCTTGATATTCTCAAACTTGGATCATAATGCTCGAATCTCATTGGCTAAAACTAATTACAGTAAATTGAAATCTGGATTTTTTTACTAAAAACAGGAGCTCGAACAATAATTTGATAGTTTCAGGCTGTAAAACAGAAAAATAACACAATTTCAACTTCAGGTACTTCTTCCCCTCGACTGAACGGGAGTGGTTCCGGAAGTTCCGCTGGATTGCGGTCTCGTCTCTTTTAGTCTCCTCCATTCATCACATCTACACCACCAGATTCGTCATGCAACTCATCACCAAACAGGCAATTTCATAAGTTCTTTTATAATAAGTTATTTGATGATAAGTGAATTTATATTAAGTTATTTTATAATAAATCATTTTATAATAAGTTATTTTATTGAACTATTTAAATATTATTCGGAGGCTGGTTTAAAGAAGACGACGCCAACCTCCGCCCACCACAATAGATTTGGCCTATTCTCCACCCAAAGCGTTCCCCTTTGGCACAATTTTACAACATCCATTTTCAGACAGCCGCATAAATCAAACTTAGATAAAATTGAAATTCTCGATAAAAAATTCAGAAGGTACAAAATATTACAGGAATTTTAATGGATTTGAAAATAGAGCGTTAAGTACTTTTTACTGAAAAGTGTTCCGAATAGATTAAGCACAATAAGTGACCGACACAAAAAACTACCCAAAAAATTCTAATTATCGTATGCAAATTGCAGTGATGGTCTGTGGTGACGAATTAGGGGGCCTCTTTGCAGTGCTGCGCCGCAGAAAATTTTGGAAAAAAAAACAGGCCAAAAAAGATGTTAGAGCGTCAAAGTTAAAACATAATGGGACCAAAAACGCCTTTAGAAACGCCTTGTCGTATAATAGTACTAAATAAGTAACCTTTTGCGTGGCCAGGAAGTCGAATCCCTATGGGACCCCCCTAAATTCGCTACAAATAATACTAATTTTTAATTTTAAACTAGCCGAAAATAAAGTTTTTGATTATTTCTAAAAATTGATTTCCATAAGCTTCAACCTTTCGTTTAGATCATCGCAGTGGCGTCTCTCCTACCCCTGACTGGGTTCCTCACAGGAGCTGCACTAACTCTCCTCTCCCGACAGAGATCCACTGCAATCAGGACTGTCCTGCTAGGCACTGGACTACAAGACACATTCTTAGTAGTACTCATTGTCAAGGTCACATCTTTTTTCACACAAATTTGTACAAAAAGTACCCAATGGTTTAAAAAGTAATTATGAGAGAGCAAAGTCTGATTAAGTGATATTTTTCCAGAAAAAAAATGCGAAGAAACTGGGATTCTTTATAGTTCTCGAATTCGAGAAAAGAATTTGAAGAATTACTTTGTTAGGAGACAGCCAGCTTTCGGGAAATTGAATAAGATCAATAAGGGATCTTAAATGTTGTCTTTTGGTTTTTTAAAATATTCTTGGACAACCCTAAAAAGGATGAAAAAGTTGTCCGATCTTTTTCCAAAGCCCGCCCTTCTCCGAGAACACCCAAGATCTTCTTCTGCGTAAAGAGCCGGAAAACATGCCAAAATCTTGTTTTAATACCCTTTGAAGCCTCGTTACAAGGCCGCACAGTTGATTATACTTCATTCATTTGTATCAATTATTTAAAAAAGCCTCACTAGACGAAAGTCACCAAATCGAAAAAACTAAGCAGAAAAATTTCGTCAAATTATTTTTCTCAATCATTGTCAAATAATTGGTCTCGAACGGTTGTCTCGAATGAAAATAAATTTGAGAAACAACATGCCAAACAAGGAGCCGCCAGCACTAAATTCCCGGGTTGACGTCCATAGAAGAAAAATGCTTATCATACAGTTTCATATATGAAGTCTATGGAAAAAATGCTTATCATACAATTTTCATGTATGAAAATTATAAAATAGTCATTTCGTCATAGAAAAAATAAAATTTTCAAAAATCACCAAAAAATGTGTCTGGGTAACTTTAAATAGATTTACACAAGTATATCTATGATAGAGGGCATATTGACAATCAAATACATAATTTTAACTTCGGTCAGAAAAATTCTTATCATGAAGTTTTCATATATGAAGATTGTATGATATGCATTTTTTTCATAAACAAAAATAAAAATTTGTGGTAAAAAAATATTAATTCCATTTTTTGGCTGCAAATTTGCATTTGTGCTAAAATATAAATTATACGAAAAACAAATTTGCATGCAAAATTTGACATTTTTGTGTTTATAACATAGTCCAGGATGAGTTTCTCACCCAAAAAACCCAAAAATTCCATGAAAATGTTTTTTTTTTGTTAACACCATTATTATCTTTTGTTTCATTTGCTAAGATAAAAATAAATTAGTAAAAAAAACCTTTGTAAAAGAAGGCCTTTTTCCTCAACCATCATAATTTTCAAGCTAAAAATTATCTAGCCATATTCAAAAACTTACTTTTTTGGTATATATTACTATGTGAAAATGTTAAAATTAACTTTAATGGCTAAAACCACCAAATGCAGTTTATCTGCGTGGTAACTGCCAGTTACACTCTGGGTTTTCTCATGACAAAACATCCTTGGTTAGTATTTCGGTTGGAAAAAATGATTATCATACAATTCATGGTATGGAAAAAATGCTTATCATACAATTTCATATATGAAAAAAATGCTTATTTTGCAATTTTCATACATACACTTTTACTCTATGAAATTGTATGAAAGAGTATGATAAGCATTTTTTTTATATATAAAAATTGTATGATAAGCATTTTTTGTCAACCCGGGTTGGCTTTGAAAAAAAACTACGAACAGGTTACAAAAATTTGGTAAACTACCCAGCCACGAGCTCACTCTTCACGCATATTACTAGTTAATTTATAAATTTCAGCCGCTAGACTTCAAAAGGTAACACTTTGGTCGACCTGATTCATGAAAAATTTTGCTGAATTGATTTTTGTAGAGACGGTGAAAAAACACGTGTTATCTAATTTTTACGCTGGCCAATCGTTATAGGATTAGATTGTATTTTTCGTTTTTACTTTTTCAATTTATTGGAAGAAACACATCTCACAATCAAACTCGCCAATCCGATTATTCTACAAATTTATTAAAACTGAAGGATCTATTTTAAGAGAAGGACTAAAATTAGTCAGGGAATAAGGAGTTTCACGAACTTTATCGGACCAAAAATAGACAACGCGACAATCAGACTGTCTATTAAACACCTTTTTGCGCTAAATACTATAATAGTTAGCCCACACAATCATAATCAACGTGGTTCATTTTATTCCCCCGTCCTATAAGGACAGGTCGAAAATTGTCCCACTAAATTGTCCCACTAAATTGTCCCAAAAAGGTAGAAAAATGAACGCCGTACCAAACAATTACAGGTAATTTAGATTACCTTGCGTCAAATTTCACTTCAAATTCATTTCAAAATAGAGATTGCAGTGACGTATTTAAAGAAAAATTAAAGCTATTTATATATTTCAGGACCTGAAGAAACCTCCACTGGCAGATTTGGATTGTGCAATACCCCACATATGTGCTACATTCGCTCTAATATACGCATTTATAGTATACATAGGGCATCATTTAGCCATGGGTAAGCTCAGTAGAAGATTTAGAGTGGGGGGGGGGGGGTTGAGTAACTGTAAGCTAAAAATTTATTACAAAGAGTTGTCCATGAAATGCTAAAATGGAATAAAATTTAATTAATATCAGAAAAGATTTTTTTTATCATGCTGGACAAAACCAATTTTTAGTTTTCTGGTAATTTTGTCTTCAATTAAGATTCATCCTTTTTTGAGAACGCTTCATTTCACCATTCAGGTGTCCCGCTTGTTGAGTAGTACTGCTCTTACTAAACCCTCCGGTCAATATTAAATGATTCAACATTTTGTATTGTGCGGTAAATTAATTCAAACTTCAAACATTAAAACATAACCTAGCATCTAGCAATTAACCTATAACTGTTGGAATTATTTTACAAACGCCTTTTTTAGAAATGAAATTTTTTAGACAAGTTAAAAAGTAAAAGATATAAAATTATCAATTTTCCATTCTTTCAGAGTTTTCACCATCATATTCAAGCTTGGTCCACTTGGAAGAAACTCAGATACTGGAAGAAGAAAAAAGAGCCGAACTCGTTACTCTGCAAGGACGAAGTGTGAACGAACATGACGAGGCAAATCTCAACCCAGAGTTAAGGACACGTAACCGACAGTTCCGAGACGCTTCTCAAAACACCTCCCGGATGATGTTAAACGAAATCCAAAATGCACCCGAAGGATATAACACAATATCAAATTCGATTTATTCAATCAACCGAGAAGTTCCATTGTTACATAACAATGACTGTAATAATGAAGTACGAAGTGGTTCCTCAACTTCTTGTTCACATCAGATGGAAAATTCCTTTTTATCAAGACCCAGATCAATGTTTATCAACAGTTACCAGAACAATGACGAAATCCAAATCGAACCTTCCATAAATGGAAAAAACTTTGATATGAATCACTTGCCAGCCAATGATTACAAAACAGGAATTGTGATCCGTACCCATAATGGTCCAACAATAAACGGATCTCCAAGAAAACATGAGCTTACATCAAATGGAAATTATAATTTTTTGCCCGATGACACCCCCTCTAATCGGCAAAAAATCAGCACTCTATCAGCGCCTGGAGGTACATGTGAGAGCGGGAATTATTCGAAAAACGAGACGACTGTCCATTGCAAAAGTTATAGAGCCGAATTTCATGTGTGAAGCTTTTTACAGTTTTAAGTAGATTTTTTAGGTTGTTAGTTTTTTGAGCGCTGGTTGAAATTATTTATGGCGAGTGTCCATGATGCAAATCTCAAATATTAGCAAAAACATGATTGTTTTCAAAAGAAACCAAAGCCGAAAAACAGTAGAAGTGTTAATAAACTGAACGAAGCTGTTTAAACCAATTTTTTTTTCTGATGACTGATTTTTTCCTTCAGTTTTTCTGATTTCAATTTCCGCGAAAAATAAACCCTTTATACGATTGCCCCCCTTATAAACAAACTTAACAATTTGAGCAAAATAGAAGAAAACTAAGCTTTTCATTCAACTGATTCAGGGGGGCGGGGGGCCCTTAGGGACTCCACCCCCTGCCGACCCAAAGGGTCCCCACTTTGTATTATTTTGAGATATCCATCTTTGACTGACGGACCCCAATTTTTTTTATAAAGGCGCCAATTTATACTAATTTTGAGGGGAGAGCGCGCGCCGAAAAAACGCGATAATTTGGTCAAAACTTGGGTCAAAATGTTGGCTGTGGCACAGAAAATTTGGCCAAAACAGGGTCTTTTTAGTGCCTTCGGAGAGCTCGGAAAATCAATTTGGATAACCCAAGATACAGGGTCGACAAATTTCTAAAAATTTTTGAAAATCCCGTCCTCGAGAAACCCTAGATATATTTTTTTCATAAGGCGTAAGCGCTAACTCTTTGCTTCCTCGAAATCTGGCGAAACTTCAAATTTCAAACGAGTTTTTCTTGACACAGGAAAATACTTCAAAAATTGCTTATGATTGTTAATGTTACAAAAAAAAATTTCATTATTTGCAATGATTCTTCGTGGTAATAAATTTTAGATGAAAAGCTTTAGGGTGTCATTTTAGATGCTTGCATGCAAATATAGTTAATACCAGGCGTTTGCCATCTTAGGATCATTCAGTTAAAAAAACCTGTTTTTTCACTAAAAAATGAAGTAGCAATTTTGCAAGATCCACATCATAAAACATAGCCAACAGTTGAAAACTGACTTAACTTCTTTCTTTGAAAAAACAACTTTCAATTTTTTCTTTGAAAAAAATAGATGCCCTTAAAGCTCAGACTTTCTAGAACAACGAAAAATTGACAATTTTTAAATAAAATTAAGCCAGTTTGGATTAATAGCCAAAGTTTTTATTTTGCTGGGAACTCTGATAATTAAATTCCACTTTTGAAAATAGAAGTTGATCGCGTTTTTCGTGACCTGTACAAGATTTTTGATGGTGCAGTTTGCCTTCCTTTGAAGAAAGGAAACACCTTGAAGTCACAAGGTCTGAACCGCAAAAAGATATATTAGAGCCTGAAAAAAAACCACGTCCAATGAAATTCTGAACTACTTTCGACTATTAAACAACTGTTAGAAAAGTTTGAATTTTTAATAGACATTTTATTTGAGATAAAGTTATTTGTTGCCCCGGGTTTCGATAAATCTGAAAAAAATAGTAAGTTTTAAATGTTTTGTTATAAAAACATGTTGGTTGAAAAATCCAATTTCAAAGATGATAAGAACAAAATGAACAATTCAGATTACATAATTAGGCGACATATTAACATATCTGATGTATTCAAATGCAAACAAAAACAGTGTCAAAACTCAGTTTTGTACAATCAATCATAATGTTTCATTTATAATTTACAGCAAACATTGGAATCTATTTTCGAGCATGGTATTTAAGAAAAACTTATCAAAAACTTGAGATCAGATTTCGGAAGTTTTAGTAAATACCATGAAAAAATGTGAAAAAGTGAGTCAGGCAAAATTGAACAACAGGATTCACATCGAAAGCCAGTTCTTTTAACAATAAGCTTTTCCTTTCAATACAGTTAAGCAAGTGTACAAAAAAGTGTTTCGCAGCTCTTTCTGCTTTTGATTATTTTTTATTTTCTTCTGCGTTAGTAAAATCCAATAATAACCTGTTCCTATTGCTCTGAAATATTAACTGTGCCTGTTTTTACAGTTTATATTCCACTTGAGTACTTTAATTTCTGATTGGACTATAATGACTTGTCTACTGCTTTCCATTTTATTGCATGGCTTTTCCGATGATCGTGGAGACGTCTATTCCGTAATTATCCTTGACATACTTCCAGGAACTAGCTGACAGGTAGAGAAAATACATTCGTTCCATCTCAACCTAAAACATAATCGAAGTCAGCATTACCCTTTAGAGATTCGCCTGAAAAGAACCATTTTTTACAGGGGTGGATCTAGGATTTTCTTGAGGGGGGGCGGATTTCAAAAAATTATCGAAAATTTGTTCAAAAACTCGAACATAGCCAACAGACAGGTGGAATTATTTTGAAAAAAAATCTTCATTTTCAAATTTCAGGGAAAAAATAGATAGCCTTAAACCTCTTTGAATTTCTGGAACAATTTATGATTGACACTTTTTTGATAAAACTAACCCGATTTGAGGAAACTGGATCAATAGGTAAAATTTTTATTTCAGTGGGAAATATGAAAACTAATTTCCATTTTCAAAAACAGAAGCCGATCATGTTTTTCGGAGCCATTACATTTTTGCTGTTCGATAGGGGAGTATGTTTGAAGAAAGGAAATACACTGAATTTAAGAAGTCACAAGTCAATTCGCGAAAAAGTAAATTTGAGCATGAAAAAAAAAACGGAAAAAAATCATCACGACCTATATAAGAGTCTGAACTGCGTTCATCGACTCTTGATAGAGTCAAAAAACAGCAGATGATTTGATTTGTTAAATATATTTGATCTGCAAGTAAGTTTGTCAAATGTCTTGTTATTTTACATCAAAAAATCATCAATCAGTGAAACGAAGTGTCCGGATTTTTTCACATTATATTCATCCGTGCTCGCTGATTGATAGTGAGACAACATAACCATTTTTTAAAAAAAAACTAGCCAAACACCTGACTATGAAGGGCCAATAGCGAACGCCGCAGCTACCAGCTAAATACCTGAAACTAAGACCCTTGCCAGACTGATTTATAGTTTCAACTCGTACCTCAAATCTAGCGTTGTCAACGGACTTTTCAAAGGCCTTGGCAGCAGCCGAGTAATCTCCTCTCTTGATCTCAATGTTGCCCATCATCTCATAGGCGAAGTCACTTCTGGGGTCTTTCTCTATCGACTGCTTGATGAGATCGATGGCTGCGTTGTAGTCGCCTTTCAGTTGCAGCAGTAACATGCTGAACAAAAAAAATCAAATGAAAAAGGCACTTGTACTTCGAACATAACTCGATCAGTGTCAGGTGAATATCGCTCACCTATTTAGTCAAACAACCAAATTAAAGATCCTTCCTTGAACATAAGTGGTGAACTATTCAGTAAGTCAACATGTAAAACGCTAAAATCTGATTGTCCAAAAACTCAATCCGAAATTCAATTTTCAATTAAATAATATATTGTACAAGTCGTGCATTTTCATATTTACTTTAAATCGTGCTTTTAATTACTCTTGAAACAATTAAACTTGAAAAAGTAAAAAAAAAAATATTCTTTATTTACCCCTTATGGACATAGTTGGCGGCGTTCTCTGGACACAATGCAATGGCCTTGTCGAACATGGCTAGTGACTCTGTAGGCTGACCTGCATCTGCTAAGGCCTGAGCATACATTGCGTGACCATCTGACGATTTGGGAAACTTCTTCAAAATATCTAAAGAATTCAAGTTTACATCATATTTATTGGGCTTAGCACGTTAGCTTCGCAGTTAAGTGGAATTGATGCTATCAGACAACGGTGAGTCAAAATCACCTGCGATACAATGACAGCGTAGCATGACAAGCTGTGAAATACAGAAAGATGGAAATAACTAAATCAAAAAAAAAAACTAAATCAAAAACAAAAATTGGAAATACGAAAGTTCAATTCCAGAAAAACAGACGAGAAATACAACCACTAGCATTGAACGAGCTTTTAGTATTTTCCGAGCGTTTAATAAGCCAACTACACGCGGTTAGACATCAATTAACTTGAAAATAAAAACTTTGGAAAACGAAAAACTGAATCTCAGAAAAACAGACGAGAAACCCAACCACTAAGATTTCACAATTTTTTTCCGAGCGTTCACTGAGCTGAAAACACATGGTTAGACGCCAATTTCTTCAAAAACAAAAAAAAATGCCAAAGGAAACTGTTGCCATACGAAAAATTTTGAGCGATTAAAAAGTTTGAACTTTTAATTTTTATACTACCAACCTACCTGATTTCTTCCAAACAGGAAAAATCATTTTTTGCCCGTAAACCGATGCAAAACAGTTTCACTAAGCCAACAACACATGAGCTGCCAAACTATAGTCCGACTATTGCATTTGTACAGGAAAAATTCAATTTCAGACACTGTAAAAAAAAAACAAGGTCCAGCCGGGACTCGAAACCCAAACCATAGGGTACAAAGGCAATCGCATTACATCCAGGCCAAGTGAGAAGGGGTCTGCAAATTGCAAAGAATCGACAATAAGCAACATCACTTTCAATTACAAAATTGTAAGAAAAGTTGTTTACGGTAAAACCGTCTAGTTCCTGATGACAAGACTCTTGCTCTCGCAATTATTTAAAAAACATCGAATACATCTAGCAAGATACGAATTCGATCCACTGCCGTACACCTCGTATTATAACACAATCTAGCTGAAAGAAGAAATGAAAGGGTTCGGAACCTTTGAACTCCTCCAAAGCCCTGTTGGCTTTGATGAGATCCCTCTGGGTGGCTGCCACTTTGTAGTTTGCATAGCACAGCTGGATGGCAGGTTGATCAAAGGAGGGGTCTAGTTTGATGCACTTGTTAAACTCATCAATGCATCGCTCATTGTCCTCCATCAACAGGAACAGCTGGCAGCAAAAATAAAGATTCGATCGATTTCTATGAAGGTCAATGAATAGCGTACACATTCACTTCTTATTTCTGCTAACTTTGGTGACATTCAACACAAATGCGAAGCGAGAAAACGGCAGAAAGTAGCTTTAAAAAGCCATAAACAAGAAAAGGAAGAAAAGGTATTTGCCGGAATCGAACCTCTCACCTTGAAATTAAGAGTCTTACGTAAAAACATTAATACTAGCTACCAAAAAAGCACTAACAGTTGCTATTATATAGCCAATTTGGGAATAAAACATAAGGGATCTTGTTAACTATCCCCCCCCCCCCCCCCCCCTATTTCGATTTTCAGAAATTCAACTTTGCCGGCCACATTTCCAACAGCTTAAAACAACTTTCAGAAAATATTCATATTTTGAAATTTTTACGTAGGTATTATATAAATAGTGAGTAATACAAATACGAACGCGCGAAAATGAAAACCCAACAAATTGTTGACGTTTTTGAAATGCATATTTTGTACATAAAATGTTGTCAAAAATAAAACATGCATAGGGGGGGGGGGTAGTTAAAAAGATCCAACATAAGTACCACCAAATGAGAAATTTTATGTGCGACTTAAGTTGGAAAAAGTTTGGTTCAAAGTACTACACTACGCTCCGTATACCTATCATCATAGACGTAATTACAGGAAAATTTTGAGGTCTGTTGCTCGACGCCCCTAGCACGAAAAACTTTTTTATAAACGAGCCTACTATTTTAATTAATTTCCAAACAAATATCACCTGTCCCCTGTGATGATGGGCATCTACACTTTCATCAGCCACTTCCACACTCTGTTCGAAGTCGGCCATGGCTCTGAAGTTCTCCTGGTTCTGCATGTGTAGACTGCCTCTCTTGATCAGAGCATTCGACTTCTGGAGTGCAGAAGACTTCGGACTGTTCACTACCTTCTCGAGGTCTTCTAAGGCCAGTTTGGCAGCACCTGTAAAAATCAAAACTGAAAAGTTTATCGGGTTGCATTAAACTTGAATCCCGCGCTTAAAATTCATTTGCGACTTGACTTTATTTTCAAAAAAATACATGTCATAATTCGAATTTTTCAGTTACAGACATGGAATTTATCCTTTTAAATGGTACAACAAATAACGGGAAAAGAGCCGATGGGTTACTAGAAGACAGGTCTTGAATCTCAAACAATAATTGGCAGCAATTCAATCAAAAGCTTCAAGTCTCGTTCTAAATTCGCGTTTCGAAATCAAAACCATGGTTTTCGCGAGCTTTTAGTAATGAACAGTTGCAGTTTATAAGCAATAGCAGTTTATGAACATTTTTTTAAAGAAGCAAAGGCAAGAGATATTACGTTTTTTTTTTCAATTTGACAGAAATTTTCAAATCAAAACAATGACAGCTTACCTGACAATAATCGGAATGTTCCTCGGACTAGCAACGCATTAATATAAAAAGGCGACTCTTCCCCCACCCTGTCAATTTCATAACTACACGCACTCTCCACACCTTCGAAGTCATCTCCCTCTTCGAACAACTTCTTCGCTTTCAGGAAACCCTTTGAAGTGTCTGCGTCTTCTGAAGGTGTCTGTTCGTGATCGGCAATGATGTCAGATTTTATTCAAGAACTTATTATTTCAAAATATCATTAAAAGTTAGAAAATGTCATCTTAATTATTTTAAGCTGCCTGAACGTTTTAAAGAAATATGATAATTTCATGATGTTGCCAAACCTTTATTTAATCTCATTTACCAATTTATAAATTATTTTTAATTTTGCATTTTTCAAATTCGAAAAAGCCACTAAATTTTTTTATTAGTTAACAAACATCATTTAAAAATATTAAAGATGACTACATTATTCTTTTAGAACGCCTCAAAATTTGTAGCTGCTTTTAAAATCTGTATTAAGGAAAAGACATCACTGCTTTTTGCACTTACTTCGCAATCGAAAATATTAAAAGTGAAGCTGTCGAAATATCCATTCACAAAATGTTTAGAAGGACTCGGTCTCGATGTTTTTGATGCATACTTCTCTTTCGCTTTCTTCTCTGACAATTCTTTCGTAATAACTTCTGATAGCTGCATGTTAGCGATATCTTAGAATAGGTGGCCAATTAAAAAAGAATTGAATCTTTTGAAAACTTTTCTAGTAAGCTTCAAAAATAACGTAAAAGTAATGACAACAAGCGACGCGAATTTGAACTACTGATTAACTTTTTAGAAGAATTTTTAACTAAAACAATAAACACTCATTTTCATTTAAAAAATCTATACCTAATAAATTCATATTTTGATCTATACTATACCTACTACAGTCACGATAGAGTTTCCAAAACAGCCACCCATTCTAAAATATTTCCACCTGCATGTTTTCCGCGTTTGCTAAATCTTCTAATAAAGCAGCCGCTGTTATATCTTGGATTGCATATTCTAGTTCGCCTAACGACTTGTAGGCTTTTGCTCTCTTCGACAAGGCTTTGATGTATTTGGGACTGATTTTGAGGCAGTTGGAGCATTCACGAACAACGTCTTCCGGCTTCTCCTGCAACCCAAACGCTAACGAACTTACGAACACAGTAAAACAATGCTTAATTTGTTGAAGCATTCTCAAAAAAAATATACGACCTTTTAATTTCAAGAATCTTTTTGTGACACACTTTTTTTATTTCAAAACCCAACTCGAAAAAATGGATCTACAGCCGATTCATTTCGCTTAGAAATCTGTTAAAACGTAGCCAACAGTGAGTTGGAAAAAGGTCAATGACTTTAAGAGACCGAAAGAACAAGACTTTTTTTGGAGAACTACGAATTGTCGGGTTACATAGCAGTATTTAGACAACCGCGTATTCCTACTCGTCAGTAAGCAGACAAATACTGTATTAACCAATCGGAATCGAGAAAAGGAAGAAATTATTAAATTACAGACCTTCAACATTATATTTATGACTGACACTTAAAATAAAACTGGATTCGTAGCTAATTTTTTATTACGCGTTTATTAATCTACATTAAAATTACTTTTGAAATTAAAAAATTAAAATACTTTTAAAAATGAAAATCAATCAATATGTTTCGCCTTACTTGCTTTTAAGTTTATGGGAAGCGGTACCGTTTTATATTTTCCATGAAACAAAAAGTTAAAGAATGATAACCGGTTACAGTGCAAGTAGCAAAGAATGTTACGACCATAGTCTTGAAAAACACACAAAAAACAGTGTAGTTTTTTAAAACTAAAGTCGTTTTTTTTCCGTGGTATAGTTAAATAGGCAAAATGGACAACAGTTTTAGAAGAAAAACTACAAGGAAAACAAAAAACCATTAAAAACATCAATTTTTTTTTGAATTTTTTTTTATTCCCAACATGCTCCAAAAACAAATTTACTCGAGTAAAACTAAAATGAGCCGAAATCAAATGTTGTAAGCGGCTTAAATTTTAAAAAAATAATAAGCCTGATCGATCGCTTTATTCGAACGAATTGAGACTAAAAATCTAACCTGTTTAAATTTTAAACCTGTTTTTCTGGATACTGGGACAATTATTTCGAAATTTTATGTCGTTCGAATCACGACTGAAAGTATGATATATCACACAACTCAATCCGATAATTATTTGTGGTACTTAATTTTGCGTGGAAAAATTTTAAAAAACTATAACTAAAAAAACTAAAATGAAACTAAATTTCAACACGATCCCTTGAAATTAAGCAAAGACTAGAAACATATCAGGCAGCTTCAGATGCTAAAAAATTGCCAATGCTATGCAGCAAAAATGCCAACAAATATAAAATAAAATTAGTGCTAAATGGGGGCATTGAACCTCCGACCAGTAGATTGGGAATATCATGTCTTCCATCCGTGCGACGGTCGCTTGACGATCGGCAAAATCTAGCCACCAATAAAGCACAGAACACGCGAGATTAAATTTACATCCAACAGATCGTGAAATCTAAAGTTCCACCAAATGGCAACTTCTATTTACGACTTCATACTATTACACTACACCCGCTAGCTAGATTGTGTAATAGAAAACAGCAATTTCTACACAATCAGGTAAACCAAGTAGAACAAACATAACCAATTGCGTTTAAAACTGTGTAAAAACCACTTACCATTTTCTCATATGCGGCTGCCAGATTATGGTAAAAAGTCGCCCTTTCAGCACTTGCCAATTTCTCTCCTCCTCCCAGGTCACCACCTATGGAGCAAATAAAAATTTAGACTTTTAAAGACTAGCGAAAGTTAATCAGAGTGTATCCAGGTTAATCATGGCTTATTGAAGTACATAAAACTTGAAGTAGTTAGATTGAATAATTATAGTTAATGCAAAAATGTTGGCACTATCCTTTTCGTCCAAATCGATTGATCATATATTGCCAACAATTATAATTAGGATTTGTGGATCACATAAAAATTTTCTCGCACAGTCTCTTAAAAAATAAAACTGCATCTTAATTATTAATGTTCCTAACATCACTATGACTCACCCCCAGAACACACACAAAGTTTTATTTGCTCGCCGAAAGAAACAATATGAGGTCACTAAGACGATATAATATAGGCCGTAGCATATAAAGCCGAAAAAAAAGTTAAAACACAGAGGCGAAGCTCTGCTTCGCAAACACTCACGAGAAAACGATAAAAAGCAGCACTATAAAATGCAATAATAAAAATAAGAAATAAGCTTCGAATTGGTAAATACTGGAGAACAGATGCTATGCAATTTCCAATGCTACAGTGAAATTTCCAATTAAGTGAACACTTTTAATGAAAACTTTAATTTGCGAGTTAGGTTAGAAAAAATAGAAGGTTCGTAATAATACACTAAGCTGATCGCAAGTGTAATGATTGAATTTTTCGAATGCTCCAAACAGTTCGAATAAAAAATTTATTATGTATACAAATCTTGAACAAAAAAAACACCAACCAATCATCTTCGATTGAAAATTGTTCAATATTGACAACTGTAATCATAGACGACAGACAGTTCAAGAAGATTCATAGAAGGTCAGGAAACAAAAAACACTGATTTGTTTTTTTTTTGGAAAAAATCAAAATTTAAAAAACTTGCGAATTTCCAAGAAAAAAAGATGGCCCTAAAGCTCATTAAATTGCTAGAACTATATATCATTGACACTTTTTTGATAAAATTGAACCAATTTGAGAAATCTGGATCAATAGATAAAACTTTTATTTCGCTGCGAAATCTGAAAAATAAAAAACATATGACTAATAAAAAGTTGATAAATCCACCTCACCCTCATAACACAAACGCACAAACTTTCTTTGCTCGTCGAAGACGCAATATGAGGCCATTAGGCCGATTTTATACAGGCCGAAATCTATCACGTCAAAATTAGTAAAATTACTAATAGCAAAATAAAACAAAACTTTAATAACAACTATAAGGTAACTTTCGTACATAAAAAAAAACAATTAAAAGACGTCCCAACTAAGCCGACAAAACAAGCAGAAAAATAATAAGCCGACATTTTTTGATGCGATAAATTTCGTTTGAAAAAAAGCAGGTCTTGCCAGATTCAAACCCAACACCTTTGCCGTCCCAAGCTTTCTCGTTACCACCAGACCAAGTGTGCCGGCGACGCAAAGAATAATGAATTTATTATGACTGAATGAACCTTAACTTACCATTTCTAATTTTGACCATTCTATGAACAAAGTTATTTACGGGAAATTCATTATTAACCAAGTTATTATTTACAAAGTCTAGTACCCGATTGCAATAACCTTGCTCATCGCAAGGGTAAAAAAAAACTTTTTCAGAACAAATGTTTTCATCGTTTTTCGTTTCTTTTTGAAATTCTTTGCATTGGAATAATGCCGTCGGAAAAAAAACTAACTTCTCTTGCTGCGGATAAAAGCTTCTTTGAAGTAATAAGAAAATTGAAAAAAAAAATACGAACAATGAGCCAAAACGGAGGTCCAATAAGCCCGAAACCGAAAAAGTAAAAAAAAAACATCGTATAGCGCACTGTTTTACCTTGCGTGGTGTCTCCTCCTTTGAGACTGCTCTCTGCACCCGATAGGGCGAGTGCCTCCTGGTAGCACTCGACTGCCTTGGAGTACATCTTGCCCTTGAAGTACTTGTTGCCCCTCATTTTAGCCTCAACTGCACTCTCTAACGCTGTCTAAACAGGAAGAAAAAAAAAGATCTATTTCACTATTTCGCCCTATTGCTAAAAAGATGTCCGCCCAAATTTGCAAATATCAAAACATAGCCAACCGACAGTTGGAAAAGAGTTTTGAATTTCAAATGAAAAAATAGGTGGCCTTAAAGCTCTTTGAATTTGTGGAACAACTTATGATGGACACTTTTTCGCTAAAATAACCCCCAATTTGAGAAAAACTGGATCAATAGGTAAAACTTATATCTCACTGGGAAATCTGACAAAAAAATTCCATTTTCGAAAGTAGAAGTCGATCACGTTTTTCGTGACTTTAAATTTTTGCTGTTCGATAGTGGAGGTTGCCTTCCTTTTAACAATGGAAATGCATTGAACTTAAAAAGAGATCACAAGGTCAAACCTCGAAAAGTCAAATTGAGAGTGAACAAATTTTAAGACTTTTTCCTAAAAAAAAATCACCAAGACCTGTATAAGGGTCCTCACTACGTTCATTACTCGTAAATACGAAAACCAGAAATGTTCAAATCTATTCAGTTGAAGGTAAAATCTTTGCAAAAACATTGAACACATCCCTCAACTTATAAAGGATGCACTTTCAGACTATTATGGGCGCATTAAGTAAGAAGACCTCAAAAGGGGTAGTTACCAATCTCCAAAATACCTTCGATAGTGGAGATTGCCTTCCTTTTAACAATGGAAATGCATTAAACTTAGCAAGCTCCAAAATACATGGAAAAAGAAATTACAATCACACTATAGTTGAATTACAATTAACTCAACTAAAACATAACCGAAGATTGAAGAGTAATGAACGCAAAAAAAACCATAAAAAAACACTGACTTGACTTTCGAATTTCAAAGAAAAAAATAGATGCCCTGTAAGCTCTTTGAATTTCTAGAACGATTTATGCTTGGCTCTTTTTTGATTACATTAACCCAATTGAAAAAACTGGATCAACAGATAAAGTTTTTATTCCGATGAAAATCTAAAAATTAAATTCCACTTTCGAAACTAGAAATCGTTCACGTTTTTTTTCGCGCCATTTCCACCTTCGTATTAGGCGAGTGCTATTTATGTCACTTTCAGCAGATGAATTCAATTTAACTCAAAAAGTGCTTATATAACTAAGTGCCTTCATAAATGCATCAATATGTAGGTGTGCACATCTGTAGTTATTAAGAGACTTTTATGCACATTTCAAGACTTATAAAGTATGAATATAAGTATATGTACTTATAAAGATATAAGTATGTCTAGAGATAAATTAAACGTACTTGTTTTAGAAAACCAGTTGCAGAGCGTAAAGTCGACAATGAATGAGAGTAAAAAGATCAACCATAAGCTAAACATGCAGCTCAGTCATCAACTAACAGAAAAAAAAGCTCTCGAAGCCGAAAAACTTGTCATCAGACTCAGGTAAATTTTTTATGACCAACCCGACTCCCTGCAGTATCGCGGCATTTAAGTTGATCCAATATGCGAAACTGTGAAAAAAATTTCAGACTGGGCGCATTTGTTCTAACCATTCAGGTAGAGGAGCAAATCTCCGCAAAGACAAATGAAAAAACAGAAAATTGAAACGCAAAGAGAAAATCAAAAACATAGCCAACAGAAGAAAACAAAAAAATTCTGAAAATCAAGCTCAAAAGATTGTGACATTGAAGCACTTTGAACTTGAACAATTTATAATTGTCAATTATTTTTATTGCATTAAGTCAATTTGAGAAAACTAGATCAATTGGCAAAGTTTTTATTCCGCTGGCAAATCTTACATTTTTGCTGTTCGATAGTGGAGTTTGCCTTCCTTTCAACAAATGAAATGATCTTCAAAAACAAATCAAACGTCAAACCACAAAAAGATTAAAATTATGTTCGAAATTTTGATTTTTTTCTTTAAGAAATTCATCAGGGCCTATCTAGGAGTTTTCACTAAGTCCACCGACTTTTAAACAACTTTTAAGAAACAAAGTAAAAATACTTATCCTACAACATTAGAACAAGGGTCATTTGAATTAACGGCGTAGCTATAGCACTTAGACTTTTCAAACTAGCGACCGATTGCAGAAATGTTGGCAATCTCAACTTTAAATATATATTTAAGGAAGCTAAATTATAAGACTTACTTTCTTGAAAATTTACAAGAAGCAAGATATCTCTAAAAGGACGAGGTTATCTTACAGAAAAAAGATATTAAATCATATGCAAAAGTCGAAAAAATCTCCAAACTGTTTATACATGAGACTTTTATATTTTATACGAGTTAGGTATTGCAACAAAAAAATTCAGTCAGCATTGAATTTTCTGTATTTTTTATAAAAAAATTCAAAACACAGACACGAAGCTGTGCTGCGCACTATTCAAAAACAAAAAAAGAAAGCCACTAAGTCGGCAAAACACGAAAATGTCAAAAAAAAAACTAGATCAGTCAAAATGAATAAGGCTAAATTTGTAACAACCACATGCCAATGTGAAATTAGCTGCGGAAGAAAATTTACCAAGTGGTGGTAAAAACCGAAAATACCTTGCCAGACACCTAAGCCGAAAAAAAAACACTCACCCTCAAAAAGCACACAAAAATCTATTTGCTTGTCAAACAATTTAAGGTCACTAAGCCAATATCAAAACAAAGCCATTTGCGCTTTTTTGATAACATTAACCGAACTTGAGAAAACTGGAACAAAAGGTAAAAGTTTCAATCCGCTGAAAATCTAAAAAATAAATTCTACTTTCGAAACTTAGAATTGTTCATAAAATTTTTGCGCCATTTCCACGATCGTATTTGGAGAGCGCTACTTACGTAACTTTAAGCAGATGCACTTCAATTGAACTCAAGAAGTGAATATACACCTAAGTGCATTCATAAAAGCATTAATATGTATGAATGCACATCTGTAGTTATTAGAGCATTTTAACACTTTTTCCTTAAAAACAAAAAATCACCAAGACCTATTCAAGAGTCTTCACTAAGTTCATAACTCTTAATAGGTCCAAACCTATTAAACTGAAAAAAGGAAAAGTAAAAAGACACAAAAAATCAAAAAATATAATGACTATTAAAAATATTACGAATTTTTTCGTTCATCAAAAGACGCAATATGGGGCCAGTAAATCGATTTACTTTAGGCCCAAATAAATCAAGCGAAACAAAAAAGAAAAGAAAAAAAAGTATAAAAAAATGTGATGAAAAATTATAAAATCTATTAAGATTTTTAGAATTTAGTGCGATCCAGATGAGCATTAGGAAAAAATATGTTTCGCTTGAAACTATTCAAAATTATGTTACCAAGCCAATAAAACACAAGATGAAACCATTTGAGCAAAATAGAGTTTCAAAGCGAAAAAAATACCAAAAAAAGCTTTTTTGAACAACCTAAATTTACCATTACTCATTTTGACCATTCTGCGAACTAAGTTATTTACGGGGGAAAAGTTACGTACCGTCTCCAATACAATTCCTTATCGCAAGGTTAATGCAACACTCAGGGTTGAAAACGAAAAGGCAAGACGAAGTGAATCTAACTTTTGCTAAAATATGAACAACCATAGCAACCCCCAGAGTTGAAGAAAAAACTTCCCAAAACCCGTTGCTGATTTATTTTTCATTTTGAAAAGTCAAACAAAACCCTCTCTGCAATTAATTTAAATAAGCTGCAATCTAGAACCTGGTTGCAACACACAAGTTTAAAAAAACCAAGTAACCTCACTTCATGGTCTTAACGGGAAAAGGTCTAAATCACAGTTGCAACAGTGTAAAAAACAAACGCTAAGTAACGTCTCGTTCACATTAGAGAGGCTAGGTACCGTTCAACCCTCTCAAAACTAACATTCATTTCAGCAAAGCAGTTCACTTGTAAAAAAAATCAAAAACAAATGCGACAAAAAAAAGCGACGAAGTCGAAAATCAAAAAATAACACAAATTTCTTGTAATTTTTTTACCGCAAAAATATAGGAAAAACACTAATGAGGGATGAACAATGTGATTCAAAAACAGCTGAGCAAAAATAGAACGCATGTGTACTGCATGCATAAGACGTCACGAGCTCAAATCTTTTAACAAAGTTCTTAACAGTAAAAAAAGCCTAGAACCCGGTTGCAACACACAAATGTACAAACAAAAGATGACTATTTGAAAAGCCAATTTATTTGTATATTTGGGAAATCATTCTTGCCCTTTTTATTTACCTTCTCAGAAAATCAAACGAAAAGATGTCTTTGTGATAGGTACATCATGAACTCACATCGTTATCAAATAAGTTGATCATAAGTAAGCTACTAAGTTATCTAAAATTTTTCAAACTTTGATTTTTTTCTTTAAAAAAATTCATCCGGGCCTATTTAAGAATCACCACTACGTCCATCGACTTTTAATCAACTTTAAAGAAACAAAGTAAAAATCCTTATTCTACAATATTTGAACAAGGGTCATTTGAATTAACGGCGTAGCTATAGCACTTAGACTTTTCAAACTAGCGACCGATTGCAGAAATGTTTGCAATCTCAACTTTAAATATATATTTATGGAAGCTAAATTATAAGACTTACTTTCTTGAAAATTTACAAGAACCGAGATATCTCTAAAAGGACGAGGTTATCTTACAGAAAAAAAGATATTAAGTCATATGCAAAAGTCAAAAAAAAATATTCAAACTGTTTCGACTTGAGACGTTTATATTTTATACGAGTTAGGTATTACAACAAAAAATTACTTTCAGCATTGAATTTTCTATATAATTTTTATTAAAAAAATCAAAACACAGACATGAAGCTGTGCTGCGCACTATTCAAAAACAATACAAGAAAGCCACTTAGTCGGAAAAACACGATATCTCAAAAAAAAACTAGATCAGTCAAAATGAATAAGGCTAAATTTGAAACAACTACAGGCCAATGTAAAAATAGTCGCGGAAGAAAATTTACCAAGTGGTAAAAACCAAAAAAAAACATGACATACCTTTTAAGCCGAAAAAAATACACTCACACTCAAAACGCACACGAAACTCTATTTGCTTGTCAAAAACTTTAAGGTCACTAAGCCTATATTAAAACAAAGCCAACTGAAAGTTGTAAAACAGTAATGAACGCAGAAAAAAATGAGTTTGCTAAATAAATCGCAACTTTCGAATTTCAAAGAACAAATAGATCCCCTTTAAGCTTTTTAAAAATTTTTAGAACAGTTCACGATTTGCGCTTTTTTGATAACATTAACCGTTAACCTTGGGTTCAAACAAATCAAGCGAAACAAAAAGGAAAAGAAAAAAGGCGTAAAAAAATTGTTGTGATGAAAAATTATGAAATCTATTAAGACTTTTAGCATTTAGTGCGCTCCAGATGAGCATTAGGAAAAAATACGTCTCGCTTGAAACTATTCAAAATTAGGCCACAAAGCCGATAAAAACAAGATGAAACCATTTGAGCAAAATAGAGTTTCAAAGTGAAAAAAAAAATGGAACCTGCTGAGTGTAGTCTAGCTTTTTTGAACTGACCCTTTTTCTCATTTACCATTTCTCATTTTGACCATTCTGCGAACAAAGTTATTTACGGGGGGAAAAGTTAAGTTCCCGATTGCAATACCATTGCTCATCGCAAGCGTAATGAAACACTCAGGGTTGGAAACGAAAAGGCAAGGCGAAGTGAATCTAACTTTTGCTACAAAGATGATTAACAACAATAGCATAGCCCAGAGTTGAAGAAAAAACTTTTGAAATGTCAAACAAAACACGCTGTGCAATTAATTTAAAGAAACTGCAATCAAGAACCCGGTTGCAACACACGAGTTTAAAAAAAATGCTAAGTAACCTCTCTTCATGTTCTTTCCGGGAAAATGTCTAAAACCCGGTTGGGTTGCAACACACAGAGGAAAAAACAAACGATAAGTAACCTCTCGAACATCATGTTCACATTAGAGAGGCTAGTTAGCGTTCAACCCTCAAAACTATTATTCAAACAGGCAAAGCAAGTCACTTGTACAAAAAATCGTAAGCTAAGTCGACAAAAAAACTGTAAGCGACGAAGTCGAAAAACAGAAAATAACATATTTCATTTAATTTTTTTTACCGCAAATATATTGGAAAAACACTATTGAGGGGTGCACAATGTTATTAATATACTGCTGAGCGAAAAAAGAACGCATGTGTACTGCATGCATATGACGTCACGAGCTCAAATCTTTTAACAAAATTCTTAAAAAACAAAAATACTGGAAAAAAGCCTAGAACCCGGTTGCAAAACTCAAACGTATGAAACAAAAGATGACTATTTGAAAAGCCAATTTATTTGAATATTTGAGAAAATAGAACTTGCCAATTTCATTTAAATTCTCAGAAAAATCAAACGAAAAGACGTCTTTGTGATACGCACATCATGAATTCTCATCGCTATCAAATGAGTTGATTATAAGTAAGCTATTAAGTTATCTAAAAAGTTTCAAGTTTCCATGAACGATGCAACATCAAGGAACATCTCTAACGCCTTGCAAGCTGCCAACTTTTGGTCTTGATCCCACAAACATCAGCAGTGTCAAAATGTGACATAATTTCCCTCTGATCGCCTGCAGTCTTCTAACTGATACATAAAACGAATCGTCTGTGTCTGTTAACAATTCTTCGAAATACTCTACAACCCGTGGAATTCTTTCATCCAAATCGAGAAGCTGGCGATTCGCTTGTAAAATCAACGCACAAAACGCTGATATTTCCAGAGCTTCGTTTTTCAGTTCGACCAAATGTGGACTGTGAGCTTTAAACAGAAATGTCAAGTATCCGCCAGCCGTTTGTTCAACAGACTGCACCAGATGACATAGCAATTTGTACCTGGACGATAATTGATCAATAGCGCAGATAGTTTTGGAATCTAAGTTCTCAAATGACGGTGCAGAAGTGAAAGAATCAGTATAATCAGGAATTTTTAACATCATTTCTTCAACGTATGGCGTTGAATTAATTCTGTAGAGCCAGTGATAGAACAAAAAAAATCAAAATTGCTGACAACATAATATATATCTTTCGTATTTAGTCAGATAAAATTACTTCAGTCATTTTTAGATTAGATACTATAATGGCTATTCGTAAAGATGTTTTAAAGGCAAGTGTATGTAAGCAATTGGTTTATAACTCAGAACATATTTGAATCAAATATGACAGCTTGGTTATAAAAACATTCATTGATTAAAAAAGGATCAACAATATCGTATTGATTTCCAAGCGAACGATTTTCTTGGTATGTAAACAATTTGACCAGACAAGGCGTATCGTTTTTTGAAAACATTCTACTTGCGGACAACTAATTGCAAACGTACACATACTGACGAAAAAAATTCATGTTCAAGCAAAGAGTAAGTACTTACTTTAGTTGTTGAGATATCTGAATTTACTTCAGTGAGGTTTTTGGGAGTACTTGACTTTCCACCTCTTCCCTTCTTCCCCTTTGACACGGTTCCATCTGGCTTGATAAAGTAGGAATAGATGCCATATGAACTAACGCCGACAAGTACAACACCTGCTGCCCCCAAAGCAACATGTTTCCAAGTCCATGATGACCCATCAGCGCTCTGGCTAGCAATAGGCAGGGCGTTGACCTGTCTCATAACAGCAGTGCCAATGATGTTTTTAAGCACCCCAAGGAGACATTAGACTCAAACTGCAACTAAAATAAGCAAACCCCTAAATCAAACTATATGTAGGTCTTTTTAGTGGAAATTGTCAAGGTAAAAATTGTTATAGCAGATGTCAATGATGTCATCCAGTCAAAAAACTTTGTGTAATGTCGTTGACATTATCGGGGTGGCACTTTCTATATTACTGAAGAGTTCATAATATGTTTTCCTAATGGGTAATCAGAAGGTCAAAGAAAAACAAGAAGAAAGAATTAATTCCTTTAAATTAATTAAGGCAAAAATAAAAACAAAAATATAAAGTCAAGATCGACAATTTGAACAGGTGCGCTTCAAGAACTATGAACAAAAGTATCATACTAACAGAGGTTACAGTCAGGAGTCCTTTCATCAAATATTCGAACAAGAAGAAACACTTTAATTACTTAATTACTACTAGCGTTTATCGCACCTCTGGTGCTTCGAAATTTTTCGACAACTCATGAAAAACCGCATATATTGGAAACAACATCTGCAAATTTTTAGTGTACTCTGACTGCACCCAATTACAGGGTTGTAATTTCGAACTTTTCAAATTCTTTAATTCCCATTTTAAAAGCGTCATCTCGAAAACTTAATGGGCCTCTGGAGAAATTTGGAGGCCAGATTTGCAACCACTGAGAGTCCCTGAGAGCACCCTATTGTAGGGTTAGGAATTCAAAATTTTATGAATTTTTTAAACCTAAGTTTCCCGAAAAAAAAATTGAAAAAAAAAAAAACGTCTTATCTCGGAAACTAAAAGGATTTGAGCATTCATATCAAGAGGTAAGATTTGAGACGCCAGGTTGTACGCTGACAATAAGATTGTATCTTCATCGAGTTGGTAGTTTCAAATTTTTTTGAAACTAAGATTGAACTTCTTTGTACATAATTTCTTTGGGAAATTTTGAAAAAATCAAAAAAACGTCACATCTCGGAAACTAAAAGCATTTGAGCAGTCCCATTTAGCAGTCGCATGTGGCAACATTTGCAACTCTTTAGAGTACCCTGACAACACCGAACTATAGCGTTGGGAATTTCAAATTTTGAAAAATAATTAATTTAAGTTTTCTTTAAATAATTAACTTAAAACTTTGAAAAAATCACAAAAAACGTCACACCTCGATAACGTCACATCTATATTTGGAGGCAAGATTCGCAATACCTGCGACTACTCTGACAGGGACTAACTATAGGGTTGGGAATTTCAGATTTTTAAAAAATAAAAATTTAAGTTTTCTGAAAATTTTTTGGAAAAGTCACAAAAAACGTCATATCTCGGAAACTACGAAGAATTGAGCAGTCATACTTGGAGACAAGACTCGGAATCTTTAAGAGTACTCTGACAGGACCTAACTACAGGGTTGGAAATTTCAGATTTTCAAAAAATAATAATATTTTAGGTTTTCTGAAAACTTTTGAAAAAATCACAAAAACGTCATATCTAGAAAACTACAAAGAATTGAGCAGTCATATTTGGAGACAAGATTCGCAATCTTTGAGAGTACTCTGACAGGACCCAACTACAGGGTTGGGAATTTCAGATTTAAGAAAAAAAATAATACAACTATTCTGAACATTTTTTGAAAAAAATCATTTATCTATTATATATTTAAATGCGGGCTTCACTATCTCGCCATGTTTACGCTTTTTCAACGTATTTTTTTTGCATGCTTAAGCTATATCGTATATTGCAATGGTTAAGAACGTTTTTTCGCTTTTCCAATTTGATTTTAGTGGTTATTTTACCGAGTTTGAATTAAGCAGCCCAATATCGAATTAGGGGCTGCGAATTTGGTCTCCAATTTTGAATGCCCGAATCATTTTAGTTAACGAGATAAGACAATTTTTGAGATTTTTTCAAAAATTTTCAGAAATTTCAAACAACAAAATAATTTACAAAACTTGAAAATCCCAACTTTGTAGTTGGGTACTGTCAGAGTACTATCAAGGATTGCGAGTCTTGCCTCCAAATATGACTGCTCAAATCCTTGTAGTGTTCGAGATATGACGTTTTTTGTGATTTTTTCAGTAATTAAGAAAAACTTCAATTGTTTATTTTTCAAAGTTTGAAATTCGCAACCTTGTAGTTGGGTGCTGTCAGAGTACTCTAAGGAATTACAAATCTTGCCTCCAAATATGACTGTTCAAATCCTTGAAGTTTTCGAGATATGACGTATTTAGTGATTTTTTTCAAAAAATTTTCAGAAAACTTGTATTAATTTTTTTCGCAAATCTCGAAAACTTCAAGGATTTGAACAATCATATTTGGAGGCAAGATTTGTAATTTGGATTTGTAATTCCTTAGAGTACTCTGACAGCACCCAACTACAAGATTGCGAATTTCAAACTTTGAAAAATAATGAATTAAAAATTTCTTAAATTTTTGAAAAAATCACAAAAAACGTCATATGTCGAAAACTACAAGGATTTGAGCAGTCATATTTGGAGGCAAGACTCGCAATCCTTGATAGTACTCTGACAGTACCCAACTACAGGGTTGGGAACTTCAAGTTTTGTAAATTATTTTGTTATTTGAAATTTCTGAAAATTTTAGAAAAAATCTCAAAAATTGTCTTATCTCGTAAACTAAAATGATTCGGGCATTCAAAATTGGAGGCCAAATTCGCAGCCCCTAATTCGATATTGGGCTGCTTAATTCAAACTCGGTAAAATAACCACTAAAATCAAATTGGAAAATCGAAAAAACGTTCTTAACCATTGCAATATACGATATAGCTTACACATGCAAAAATAATACGTCGAAAAAGCTTAAACATGGCGAGGTAGTGAAGCCCGCATTTATATATATAATAGATTCACAATAGTCGTTGCATTAGTATAGTAACAGTGTAAAATTAATGTTAGTTACAAAGTCAGATTAGTTACTCATATGTTTGAATAAAACGAGATGAAATTATTGCATCATTAAAATCATCAAAACTGATTGCTCGCAAGCTATTTGGTCTAATTAGTTTTTGGAAGAAAAAACAACTACATTTCTCGCGAACAGTTTTTGGATGATGATGTTGTTAAGACTTATTAAAAAAATCTTCAAAAGGAGCAATTAATAAAGGTACCTTTATTTGAACATGCTGTTTGCACGTGAAAGCTGCATTTTGGAGCACGTTCATTCTCTGATAGTGCTGAAGTATATTTGTCTGATTGGAAAATTTGCATCAGAAGTTGCGCATAGAAAAAAAATTTCTACAAAACTGCGTTCCCATCTGCGGTAGGATGGTTAAAAAGAGAGAACGCGGTCTGAGCAAAAACAAAAATTGCGATCCCAACTTCTGACATGTTAGTCCCAATGGTCTGAACAGGCAAACTTTAGGTCCACAAGGTAAGCACAGATAAAACTACCTCAAACCGGGAAGAGGATTTATAACGCTGGTATGGCCCTATCCAGCATGTGCAATTAGTAGTAAGTGCACTAAATTTCTCGTGTGACATTCGACCAGAATGGACAAAAATGTAAATGCAGCAGTTTCGAGTTTTTAGCAGCAAACCTTCCGAATTGGCGGTTTTGAAGGAATGAGAGCGTTATTCGAACGATTAGACAAATCGTGAAGGCTGAAGGATTCGGAAATTCCTAAATTTTGAAAATTCGAATTGATGACGTAATAATTCTAAGAAACGTCAAAAAATGCCATTTTGGAGAAAAACTGGATAAAAACACAACAACGATAGTTGCGACAACGACAACAACGGAAAAATTGAGAATCGGCATCAGAAAAAGCAGAAGAAGCAGAGACCGCTCCGAGTTGCAACTATTGTGCCGCTACAATAGTTGCAAGGCCGTTGCGAACAACGGTGAAGAGTGTAAGACAGCCTTCCCGAAGGACAATAAGAGTCTTATTTCGCCGGATTCAAGAATCCGTAGAGGTCTCGGGATTTGGACTGAAACTGTTTTACAGAAATTTGTAGCTTCCCTATCATGCCCTGAGTTGAATTTAATTAACATCTGAATTCATTTCGCAAGGATGAGAAGCTAGGAAATGGGGGGAAGGGTTGATCCATCTTCGATGGAGATGATGATTTTTATCTACTGAGCAAAAACAAAAATAATTCAATAAATAATAGTAGCCCTGATTTTAGGAGTGACCTCGTGGTCTGGGAATACTGAGACCCAGCCATGAGCTTACTATTTTTGCATGTAATTAAGTTAATTTGAGCGTTCTGGTCGAAGCCGGAGAACAGTAACGTTTTTGTCGACCCGATGTTGAAAAGACAACCAAAAGAACTGGCTGGGTAGAAACAGTGAAAAGCATGTAGAGCTCTGTTTATACGTTGGCCAATCGTCTTAGAACCTAGCTTTTTTTCCCGTTGATGTGTCTTCCGGGCGAATGTTACATAGATGTTTTTATGGCGCTCCTGGGTGTTATTTTTTTTTAACATCTTGGCCGGCAGAACCGTTAACGAGCACTCCGCGCCGAGCGGATGCTCACATTAACGCCCTTAATAGGCCAAAACCGACGGGGCGGATGGGGAGTTCGGAACGCGGAAGCCTTCCGGATTACCGTGAATAGCTTTTTAACATAGTTAAGACCGAAAAATCACGAACCAGGAAGGATGTGGGGATCGGCCATCCCCTCGTTCCCTGAGATTTTTGTGACCAAAAACACTCAAAGATATATATAACACCAACAAAAAAGTAGTGTATCCAAGAAAAACAAAAAACATAAAAAATTACCGAAAAAAAACAAAAAAGGTAAAAAAATTTTAAAAAATCAGTAGAAATCATCCCCCCAGACAAGATGTGATCCGACCCTCCCGTTTGTTGTTGGTAGATATTTTGTTGTTACAGGCATTTATATCAGTCACGATCGTTACGATCATTTTTGTAGCCCGTTTGTGAGGCTTGTACTGTAGGGTTGTTTGAGTATTTAAGCACGTTAGTGCTAATTTGCGCTCAATCCGGAAGGGTCTTTTAGGGGTCTTGGGAGAAGACTGATCCGGCAAGCAGTACAAGGAGCAACAAGAAGGGGCTCAACGACAACAGCAATCGACTGTTGGGTATCCTTAACA